TCAAACAACCGAAGTCGCTTTGTGAGGAGAGCTTTTAGGAGATGGCCAATTTTGCAGCGAAAGCGTACGCCGGTGTTCAAGAGGAAGTGTTGCCACCGAATACTTAGTCGCAGGCAGAAGTGATTGAATACTTCGGGCTTGTGAAGGCCCGAAGCTCACACTGGTCACGTCGCAGAGCTGTAGAGAAGGATCGTTTTGAGCAGAAGCCGGTAGACCCGATCTTTCGTGTTTTGATCTCAGATCCACACCACAACCGAGTCCTAAGCTGACAGAAATCAACACGGGTACCATCTATGCGGACATCGATATCCTTTCCCTGACCGGTGTCAATAAAAAAACATTCTTCTCGAGAACTAAGAACAATTTTAAACATCTTTATCTAATCATCTTGTTCTTTACAAGAACATAGACTTTTTCTCTGCGAATAAAACATTTTGTAACATATGCCGCTAAAAACAAAACCTTTGCTTCACATACCGCTCATAACCTATGTACCATGCGTCCTGTTGCGGAAAGTCAGTAGTTCAAGTCTCGACCGGCTGATCGGTTGAACTCTTGCTTTCGGGCGGGGAGGAATCCGAAAGAGGCTACGCCGAAGGGCGGATTCTCTTTCGGGGAAGTAAACCGACCCTGAACCCGTTTATACGGGTTCAAATGGGCATATTTTTGGCCGAGCCCACGGGTTCAGAGATCCCACGTTAAACGGGCTTTGTGCCACATGACGCACTCGTTGGGGGGGTTACTGAATATCGTCAGTAGTTCAAGTCTCGACCGGCTGATTTGGTTGAACTCTCTGCTTTCGGGCGGGGAGGAACCCGAAAGAAGCTACGCCGAAGGGCGGATTCTCTTTCGGGGAGGTAAAACGACCCTGAACCCGTTTATACGGGTTCAAATGGGCATATTTTTGGCCGAGCCCACGGGTTCGGAGATCCCACGTTAAACCGGCCTTGTGCCACATGACGCCCTCGTGGGGTGGGTGACTGAATATCGTCAGTAGTTCAAGTCGAGTCAAGAGTCGAGTCAAAGGCAGTCCGTAAACAGAGTCCCGTTCAGACAATTACTGTAAGACATTGGAATAGTGATACTGGCCGAGACTACATTGTTCTCCCTAGTAAACCTGATTGTTCATACTAACACTTCTACTCTCTGTATATATTCCTGTTTGAAATATATATGTGTTATTCCATACATGTGTTCGAGTTCTTCTTTATTGGTTCTACCTTGGACTATCACCGTGGTACAAAGAACTGGACCATAACAGAAATAATCAGTCCAATTTGTTACCGCTAACTCATCGCCAGACAAACTCATCGCCAGATCAATAATTTTAAAATAAACATGATTTTGATAAAACTGATATTTTACTTTACTGTATCCAATAATAATGCAAGTAATATTTACATATTAGTATAAAATACAAACATAGCGAATTTTCATCTTTTCCATGGTTAACGTTTATAAGCGGTTTATCTGTTTTCTCGTTCCGTTGTTTATGGCTGTACGCATTTACGCAACGAGTAAAGCGTTATTAACGATACTATCATCAAACTTTTTTTTTTATTTTTTTAAATTATTTAGCGAGAAATTGCATGATACACGGGATACAGGATAAAATCATTATTTATAAGCGAAAATTCTGGGGTCGGACAATACGCGAGATATCGCGTTACAGGAATAAATACTGTAATTTAAAATTCAGAATTCTTTATTGCTTGCAACAATAGATTTAATTCTGTAGATAAGAAATCCTAGTTTACTTATGACAAAAATAAATGTCCAAAATAATTTAAATAATTTTATCTTTTTCGGGAAGAGTTAACAAACACACACGAACTCTTCTTTATTATGTGCCTTGTCTCTTCAGCGCGTAGGCGGTCATGGCTCTCCACCTCTTCCCGTCCCTTGTAGATTTCAATTAGTGTTGTCTTTTTGTTATTTCTCACAGATCCTGCCATCCGTTTGCTTAAGCCATTTAAGTATATCGTTCGTTGCTTCCTCTTGTCCATCTTTCCGTCCAGTGAGTATCAGATTTTCCAAGCCCGCCTTTCTCATTACGTGTCCCAGAAATTTCAGCTTCCTTTTCCTGATGTTAAGTATGTTTCCTCTTCGTTTGCCTCCACTCTAAAACCTTATCATTGCTCACATGTTCGGTCCATGATATCCTAAGCATCCTTCTGTAGAACCATACCTCTGTTGCCTCGAGTCTCTCTTTCATCCTTGAGGAGACCGTCAAACATTCGCTGCCGTAAAGGAGAACAGATATCATTTAGAAGTTCAGTACTTTTTCTTCGTTACCGATGAAGCCCTCCTGTCTCGTAATACTCTGCTTAGCTTTTAGAATGTGTCTTTGGCCATCCCAATACGTCTTTGGATCTCAGCGTCGCACTTTCCGTCCTCTGTCGGAACACTTCCTAGATATTTAAATTTCCACGCCTGCTTGATTATAGTGACCCCTACCTGGAAATTGCATTCCGGACTCATATTTTTGCTGATGACCGTGCCTTCTGTCTTCTTGCAGTTTATGCTTAGTCCTTTCTTCTCGCAATCCTCCGCTATCTTCTGCATAAGGTCTTATATTTTCCATTCCGTGTCAGAGCTGTGTTATCTGCGTATCTTATATTATTAAGATTGTGGCCGCCAAAGATGGATCCTTGTAAGATTTCCAGCTCTCTCAGTCTTGCCCTTCTCTAAGTGAATTTCAATTTCTAGTATTTGTTAGTTGAGACGATGATTTGAGCTGGCGATGAGTTAGGCTGAAGATGAGTAGGGATTGAAATGAAATGGCGGCGATGAGTTGTACTAGACGCACCCGCTCTGTCATCCAATTACACAAAGGTAGGCTATGCACTGTTTTCATCCATGGCTCTTTCCTTCCGTATATCCTATCAGTATCATGCTTTTCAAGCCCTCTTTTCTCATCATATGCCATGGAAATTTCAACTGTCTCTTCCTAATCATAAGAATAAGTGTTGTTTTTGTTTTTGTCTTCTATAAAACTTCCCCATTGCTCAACTGTTCAGTCCATGGTATTCTGATCATATTTTGTAGGACTACATTTATGTTGTTGTCTTTTCTTTATCTGTGAGGAGAGTGTCCATCATTCACTATCATATAGGAGGACCGATATTTTATCGCAGTCCACCACTCTTCGTTTCTTTCAAAATGTTCTTGTTTATTCATACTTTGACCGAGTCAAACCCTTAATTATTGCTCACCGAATGCAAGGCTCAAGAGACACACAAGGTAGAGAGTGAATAAGCCGGTTTTATGGACGGATGTGGATAAGCAAATTAGTGAAAACGAAAATACGTTCTCACAAAACACGATCTGGTGTGCAATAGACAATTTTGCATATTCTCCGGGCGAAGATATAACTTTCGCTTCCTATTTTAGAAAGCACGAGGATTTATACGCCACAGATTGCGCGAATTGGGCAGACTTTAAGAAGGTTCGCCTACTACTTCTAAAACTAGGCACCATGGAGCAGACCAAATTTGTGAACCATATTTTACCCTGTAAAACCAGCGAAGTGACATTTACGGAAGCGGTTAAAATTCTTAATTTTTTAACCTAAAGTTTCATTTTTTCACAAAATATGCAAGTGTATGAATTTAACCAGAAAGGGTAGTGAAGATTACACTACGTTCGCGTCAGTCGTGAACAAGCATTGTCACAATTTTAAACTGTCAAAATTGAGTTCGAATGATCTCAAGTGTTTGATATTTGTTCAGGGGCTGGTTTCATCTAAAGACGCTGAAATTAGACGTAGAATTCTGAACAAATTGGAAAACAAGTCAAGCCTTACTCTCCAATTAATAGCGGAAGTGTGTCAGAGTTTCGTAAGCGTACGCCAAGATTCGACAAATATCTAGAAATCTGGCATAGCACGCATAAGGAAGTTACGACAAAAGAAATAACAAGTTAATTCTCCCTCTAAATCAAACCAGTCCAAAAAGAGACAAGACAACTTACCCCCTAACCTGTGTTCCGGTTGTAGGTCACTACATTGGTATAAGAATTGCCCTCACCGGAATAAGAAGTGCTTCACTAGTAGCCCTATCGGGCACGAGGGCTCACACAGACAAGCGAGAAAACAGGTTAATAGCTGCATAAAAAACACAAAATTGGATGAACAAGATGGGTTAAACATTAGGAAATACGTGCAAGTACAAATCTTAAATAAAAATATAAAATTACAGTTGGATTCTGGGTCAGATTTGACAATCATAAATCTACACACTTGGAAAAAGTTGGGAAAACTAACCTTGCTAAGATCTAATAAAATGGCCAGGTCCATGACTGGGGAGAAAATAACGTTTGGGGTAGAACTTATCACAGATGTAACTTTTCATTCAAAACCTGACCACCGAGGGAGAAAAATTAATAAAAGATTCAGAATAAATTTTTCCTGAAGTTTTTTTTTTCTGGGGGCCTTGGTCCGTGTAATAAGATGACGGCAAAATTCGAGTTAAAAGATGACATCCAGCCAGTTTTTAAGAAAGAAAGATATCTGCCTTTCTCCTCTTTACCACAAATAAATGAAGAAGTCGACAGACTAGAAAGATCCGGGGTCTTGTCGAAAATTGAGTACAATGGGTTTCACCGACGGTCTATGTGAAAAAGAAGTCAAAGGAAACCCGGGTCTGCGCCGACTTCTTGACGAGATTTAATGCTCAAAGACTATCACCATCCTTTACCGAGCCAAGAAGAAATTTTCGCGAAACTAAATGGAGGATTTTTTTTTCAAAAGTCGACCTCAGTGACGCATATCTTCAAATACTGGTAGAGGAAGAATGTTCGAAGTTGCTCTGTATCAACACCCATCGTGGCTTGTACAAGTTCCAACGTCTACCTTTCGGGATCAAGGTCGCGCCGGCAATCTGCCAACAAGTAATGGGCACTAAGGTGAGGGGTCTTGACTTCGCGGTTGCATATTTGGACGACATATTAATAAACATCCAAAATGTAGAACAACACAAGGAACATGTTTATAAAGTCTTCACAAGAATTCATGAATACGTGTTCATATTGAAAGAATCAAAATGGGTCTTCTTTACGTAGAAGTTTAAAGACTTGGGGCACATTATCGACAAAGATGGCAGAAGGCCAGACAGAACGGGCTACCGCAATCAAGGTTATGCCAGCTCCTGGAAACGTCTCTTCATTACAAAGTTTTTTTAGGATTGTCAAACTACTACCAAGTGTTTATACCTAATAAGCACAACTTACGTGTTCCTCTAAACGAACTTCTGACAAAAGACAAGGAATGGGAGTGGGCACCTGAATGCCAGGAAACATTCGTCAAAATAAAAAATCTTTACGCCGGACTGAATTCTCACCCACTATAACCCAAACCTGGAGATTGTAGTGGCCAGCGACGCCAGCGACGCCAGCGACGCCAACTCGTATGGCATTGGAGCATGTATTCTGCATAAGATGCCAGATCGATCTTACAAAACAGTTGCTCATGCGTCGAGAACACTTCTTCCTGCAGATAAGAACTACTCCCAATTTGAGAAGGAATGGTTAGGGATTATTTTCGCAGTAACGAAGTTTCACCGGTACACTAATAGCCGACGTGAGGAAGTTGCTGGCTGCTACTGATTCCAGTTAAAACAGGATTTGAAGTTTTCCCGCTCATTCTCTGACGTCACTGATGAACGGCATTTTTCAAATCAGTCGCTGCCTGGTTTTCAAGCAAAAAGGTCGACTCATTTATTTCGCGTCCCTTACCCATACGCAGGCCGGAATATCTTAACTAACCAAAACTTCCTACTGACTCCTTGGCTCATCATGCAGAATCTCTTCATGTGATTGCAACTTTCTTCGAACAACTTGTTTGAACTTTTCTCCGTTTTTCTATCAGAGAACATAAAGTTTACGACACTGTCGTCATCACACTTTACAATACCTAATTCCTCGTCCTGACGCCAACAACTTGTTCGAACTTTCCTCCGTTCACTATTAGGGAACGTAGAGTTTTTCGACACGGTCGATTGATGAACTTCACATACACCTTTTAAACTCTAACCTTTACGAACCAGTTTAAGAAAAAGATAACATTACACACACATTACAAAATCGCGCAGTGAGTATTTTTTCCTTGTTGTGTATGCATGTAGCTTTTGTATTAGAAGACTCTGTTCCAGAACTTTCCTTCTGAAGAAACTTTTCCCGCCTTAGCCATTTTGATTTTCGTTTTGGCGCGGAACATTAACATTCTATTACTGACTACTTGTCACTAGATTATGCAATTTGCCTACTGGCTAAGAACTAGTTTTACTTATCTGATAGTCTTCACTGTTTGACACAAAATACTTTTTATAAAATAAAGTTTTGTATTTGTTTTCCACCAGACTCATTTTCGTCATTCCTCCTGGCTACCTATTTTTTTGCCTTTTTATGCACGTGTTGAATACAGTTATTTTTATTCTGATTTTTTTATTTACTTTGCTAGTGGATTCGGTAGTCGTGAGTAGTGTCTGGCACAAGACCACCTTTTCGTAGGCCAGCACTTCATGCTACCGGGTCTGCTACACAATCACGGTAGACACTTTATATAGCAGACGGACTACAAACCCTTACTACCGGTTCTAAAAAAAAAAGGTCTATCTGTACATACAACAAATAGACTATGAAGATGGGGAACAATACTCTTAAATTATTATTTCACGATGAAGTTCCTACAGTCTAAAGAACTCATGCCGACGGACTATCCAGATGAAACACGGGGAACCTCTTAAAGATACCGTGATTGCTTCTTGCAACACAGTATGGAAACCCCCATGTAACTCTCGACCGAATCAAACGAGAAGCTCTAAAAGATGAGTTTCTCAGGAAAACCAAAACCAAAATTCGCGAAAAGGACCAACAAAGTTCAGATATTTTCTTCCTATGGGACGAAGTACTGATATATAGTGACCGAGTCGTCATTCCCATAACGCTACAAAGAAGAATTCTGAAAGATTCCCATACCCGCCAACAAGGGATTACAAGGACGAAAAACCTCATGCGCAGTTATGTGTACTGTCCGAGTATGGATAAGGGCATCGAAAACATCGTAAAACATCCTGTAAAAGCTGTGCCTTGGCAGCTAAGGCATCCCAACCCAAATATAATCCTTAGCATAAAACGGACCGACCATGGTCCCGAATACATGTAAACTTAGCAGGCCCGCTAGACGGATATTATTATCTTATAGTAATGGATAGTTTATCGAAATGGCCCGAGGTCATTAGATGTAGAAAACCTACTACAGAAGTTACAATCCATTTCCTCCACGAACTGTTCGCTAGATTTGGGGTAGTCGATTGTCCATTGTCCGACAATGGTACACAATTGACGTCTGGTGATTTTAAGGATTTTTTGTGAGACTTTAAAGATCAATCATATCACGATCGCCCCATGTCACTCAAAGCCCGACGGACAGGCTGAGTGCTTCAATGGTATGCTGAAAAGAGCCCAGAAGAAAGCCAGGGACACACACACAGAAAAAAAGTCCTACAACAGTTCCTTCCTAGAATTACGCCCAACGATCACACGTGATCATCATTACCCCCAGCCGAGTTAATGTTTGCGTGAAAATCAGGTCTGTGTTCGACAAGCAACTCCCCAAACAAACAAAACCTGGACAAACAAACACTGTACCAAAAATCTTTACCAACACGGAGAGAATTGTTTTTTTCCGGATGTTTCGTGATAATATATATTTCTGGGAAATGGTTATAATTAAGAAACTAGTTGAAAATATGATTTACATAATGAAAGGTCACCGGTTTACGCACAAGAGACATCTGAACCAAATCAGGAAATATCTGTTAGACGATGATGACAGCAGTCCTCCTATAAAAAAAGAAGTCATGGATGTCATTTATGTTATTTTGACATGGTAATACCTCAAGTGAACCCGGACCAATGCCGTTTGAAGAGGAAAAGGAAAATGACGGATTAACCAAAAATAAAAGAAGCTATTGAGACTCTTACAGAGTTAATACTTAGGAGAAGGGTGTCATAGTAATTTACCCACGTACGCATGGACTCTTCCAACTATAAATAGGAGCAGGTACTGCTTTTGGGGAATGAAGTTTCCAGCAGTCAGCTCTGACAGACGCACCGAACATTCTAGCTGTAACACTCTCATTTGTATATGTGTGTAATACTGTCTTCTGTTAATCTATTTGATTAACTAAGTTTCTCTCTTGTGTCTTTAATTCTGGTCCTAACAATACCACAACAGTATTACACCAATCAACAATTACTCCTAAAGAAAATACGACAAACCATAATATTCACATCGGCATTTATGCAGGAGTATTTAAGAACAGAATCAGTACACATAGAGACTCATTCACCAATCCAAAATTTAAAAAAAAACAGCCCTTTCGAAAAAAAAAATTTGGGAATTGAAGGAAAAGGGTCTGAAACCGCAGATAAATTAGAAAATTCTAGGTTTCGTGAAAAAACCCAATATTTTTAGGGATAGGTGCAAGTTATATTTAAAATAAAAAACCAGGATAATAAAATATAAAGGTCAATGCAAACTATTAAATAAGCGAAGGGAACTAAATACGAAATGTAGACATAGAAATAAATTCAAAATTACATAAAAATACATGTGTATATATGTGGGGGTGTATGTGTGCGTATAGTGGCATGTATGTATGGACATGTAAATATGTATGTATGAAGATATGTACGCATATAAGTGTGTTGGACAGCATGATTTATTCCATTGGGTGCTCAGGTATTACTCAATCTATAATTCGACTAATTTATTTTAATCTTAACGGGTTTAAGTTTGAATGCCCCATCCGTTATTAATAATATTGTATACCTGTAGTACAAAAACTATTTACTATGAAACCCAGAAAAACAGGCTTGGGGCACGTAAATAAAACGGCATAGAGTATGAACTCATATTAAACAACAAACGGTCCCAGCCATAAATAAACTTCAACCCCAGGCTGCTTCACTCGAGCTAAGATAAATTACGCCCCAATACCACCAGTCGCTAACACAAACCCATTCTCATAAACAAGGCGTCTACCAGAGGAGGACTGACATTGAAAATAAATTTAAAACAATTCTCAGAGAAAGATACTTAGGGGCTGATGATAGGCGCGTACAGATCGGCTTGAAATAGACTATACGATGTTGAGGTATTTTTTTTCTTTGCTGTAATAATCATATATATATATATATATATATATATATATATATATATATATATATATATGCAAATGTGCCGGCTGATAGAGATATGAAACGTCAAAGGTAGATAGATACGAATATACCAACTGACACAGATATGACAAGACAAATAGATAGATAGATAGATAGATAGGACACCAAAACGCACCAAGTAAGACAGATAACAATTCGAGAGAAGTCAGCTCACAGGAAGCAGATAGATAGATAGATAGATATGAGGGCACCAAGTAAGACAGATAATTTGAGAGAAACAAACACACAGGAAGCATTAGATAGATAGATAGATAGATAGATAGATAGATAGATAGATAGGAGGATACCAAGATACCAAGTAAGACAGATAATAATTCGAGAGAAACCGACTCACAGAAAGCAGATAGATAGATAGATAGATAGATAGATAGATATGAAGCGACCGAGAAATGTAGATCAATAGAGACTGCTCTCAAATATAGGAGACATTCCTGCAGACATATATGGGAAGTTGACGGATAACCCCAATCCCCACTTTCTAAGTTACGTGCAGTTAAATTGAAAAATAATGTAGATAATAGTCTGAGTAATATCAAGTCTGTATAGAGCAAAGTTCTGCATCAACAAGACTATATTCAGAAATCGACGTATTGTGTTCAAGCATGACTTATATATAATGCGCGTCTTTAATGAAGGCACAGAACAATGGCTAGTCATATAACAATAGTGCGGCCAAGAAGCATACATCGTGCAAATACAATGCGAATTTGACGCAAGCAGAAAATAGTCATAACTGCGCAACATGATAACGGCAGGAATTGTGAGAAGCGTACAAGAGCCGCTTGTCTAAGTTACAAAGGTAGATATTTCCTTTTTGGAATCTGTATTTGTTATTTCTAAAATATATATATATATATATATATATATATATATATATATACCACCACATTATTACATCTTTGCGGACGTGGAGAGCTGGTTGTCTCGGAGAGCCAATTTCGAATTCCATTAGATTAATTGCCGATATCCTTGTGAAATGTATGAATTCTTATCCTGCCCCCAACTATGGGTTAAATAGTAAGGCTTGTTTCTATAAAAAAAAACATTTGTTATTCCAAAAGAAAACTTTAAAGCAATATTCAGTCATAAAAAAACCAGGAATTATACTTACAATACAAAGAATATGTTCTGGCTTTGAATAACTTACAAACGATCGATAAACCTTAAAAAAAAGAACCAATCAAGCAACATCACTTCATCACAGATTGACTTTGTATATTCTTAAAAAAAGAGAAAAAAAAAAACATCACGACTTAATCAACCTAACATAATTGTAGGTTAATGACAGGAGTTGATATTATCGAAGGTACACCAACCGATAAATTCTGTCTTTGTCATTATTTCAAGCTTATCCAGCATTTAAGTTTGTTTGTATCAACAAACTCGTAACGCAGATTCTCCTCATTGAAACCCCAAAAGCAAAAAAAAAGCTATCATCATTTGTCTAGGGAGGGGGGGTATATGAGAAACCCGATAGTAGACTTAGCATAGAATACGACATGGGAGACGTTAATAAATAAGGAAAGAGAAATGACAGCAGGAATTCAACAACAGCCGATTTATTAAGAAAGAGAAAACCTCAATGAATGCAGTCAAGCGTGATAATTAGCAGCGCTTATAACAAAGGCCACAAGTCCTTCACCCGGGTTTGTCTCATGAGACAATGGACCAATTGTATAAAGCGTTACAGTGACGATGACGCTTAATGTTTTGAAGAACGTACACAATCCAAAAGCTGGACAGAATATTGCGAGTCAGGAGGATCTCTTTGATAACAGATTTCTGAGCTGGTACGTGACATCTGTCCCCTTTTACGGCAACGAATGTTGGACGGTCTCCTTAACCCTAGAACACTAAGCATCAATTAAAGTTACGCCCCTACTAACCATGGGTATATCATACACAATTTTGAAAATATCAAAAAAAAAAAAAAAAATAAAAAAATAAAATAAAATAAATAAATAAATAAAAATAAAATAAAATAAATAAATAAATATAAATCTTTATTTGAAATATTTTGCATGCAGGCACTTCAAACTTTGTACTTTGAGTTAACATTAATAGTAACTAAAAAAAACATATTTAGGTAAGAAAATCAGGTACTGAAAATTGTAATCAAAAATAGGAAAATTTGCGCTGGGTACTATATAGCCATGGTTAGTGTTCTAGGGTTAAAGATGAAGAAGAGACTCGAGGCGACGGAGATGTGATTCTACAGAAGGATGCTGAGGATATCATGGGGTCTTGGAGAGGATACAAACATGGAGGAGGCTTATGCTTAACATCAGGAAGAGGCAGATAAAATTTCTGGGACAAGTGATGAGAAATTTGGGGGTCTGGATAATTTGATACTCACAGGCCGAAAAGAGGGAAAGAAAGACAAGGGAAAGTAACGCATGACATACATGGCGGACTTAAGCAAGCGGATGACTGAACGTGGTCTAGGGGAGATGGCAGAAGGACGAAATTTATTGCGAACTACAAGGGATAGGAAGAAGTGGAGAGACATGATTGTCTACATCCTGAAATGACACGGCGCATAAATAAGAAGTTGGCTGGAAAGCAAGAATCTGGAAGAGAGTTCCATAAGCGAGAAGTGCGAGTGAGGAAACCTGCACGGTGGAATAATGGATAACGGCTTGGATTGAGAAATCGGAGAGCCGAGTTCGAATTCCAGTCGAATCCATTTCATTCACTTACGTGCTAATACCCTTGGGAATGGTGTGAATCCTCTTCTTCTCCCTCCAGCTATGGGTAAATAGCAGGACAGACTGGGTTCTATAGCCTTGGATGGCAAATGGTTTAGGAGAAGGAAAACTCTGAATTCAAAACCTGCGGAGGGCCGTTTGGGTACCTTGTGGCACGTAGTGCACCAGGTCTCTGTAATCGGCCTTTCAAAAAGTGTGGGTGGTCCTGCACGAAACCTTCACCACTATAATCAAATCTCATGTGCTATACATGCGGGTTTGGGGACCGCATGTGAATTCCAAATTCCCATGAAACTCCAATATTGGAGCCGGCTCAACCCACCTCGGGTGAATGCCGTTACAAGTACAAGTACAGTAGTAAGTAGAGTGAGGAAACCATTAGCGTAAAAATACGGTTACATCTGCCAATTACAACCTTAATTTATAGGATTTAGACGCCAATCTGTTACTCCGCTATAATACTTGAAATCGAGCCATCAAATAGGAAAGTTTGTTAGAAAAATTACCATGCAAATACTTATAAAAGAAACAGTGGAATTCTACGTTAAGTCGCTAGGAAAATAATCAAATAAGATATACCATTACAGGACCGATAATATTGCGGAATTTTCTTGTAAAGACGTTTGGCAGATACGTAGCAGAAGCACTAAAACTGGGTGCAGAATTAATTTAAAATTGGAACTAATTTCAACTCGGAATTAATTTAAACTCGGAACTAATTTCAACTCGGAATTAATTTCAACTGGGAACTAATTTCAACTCGGATCTAATTTCCCCTCGAAATTAATTTCAACTCGGAATTAATTTCAACTCGGAACTAATTTCTACTCGGAATTAATTTCAACTAGGAACTAATTTCAACTCGGATCCTATTTCCCCTCAAAATTAATTTCAACTCGGAATTAATTTCAACTTGAAACTAATTTCAACTCGGAGCTAATTTCAACTAATTATTGTTTAACATTGTAACTCGTAATAGAATTCTTTATTTACGAACCTGAAAGTGTGAAATCCTCCGTGCCAAGATTTAAATTTCAATAAATCTGTGAAGTTTTGAAACGAAATTAAAATTTAATTTATTGATTTTCTTAAATTTTGATCAATAACGGCTTCTTTTGAACGAGAGTTTTTTTTACAGAAAAAAAAAAAAAACAGCTAAGCAATCCACTTTTCTTCCTAAAAAAAACATTGCATTTTTATTGTATTTAAATGAATAAAATTAAATAAAAAAATACCATTTTATTCATTTGCAACCAAAAAAAGAATGAAAGTTGCAGAAAAGATGAATTCTGAATTATTTTATCTACTAAGGATTTTTAATGTTAAATTTAAAAATAAATAACACCTACTCATTGCATTTTGTTTATGAATTCACGAAAATTGATAACTTTGATTTTAAATCGAGTTGAAATTATTTCCGAGGTGAAATTAATTCCGAGTTGAAATTAGTTACGAGTTGAAATTAGTTCTGTCACTCACTAAAACAGATGTGGAAGTAATATTGAATCCACGTACGAAAGGTAGATTTTTGAATGCGCAGGGTAGATTCGGGTGTGAAAAACTGTTTGGTACTAAAGAGTGAACCAACGTTTCTAGCCGTAGGCCTAGCATTTGATTCGATATAATCTTGCCGATTCCTGTCAGTTGGAAATATTAAACCGAGAAGCCATGGAGATGGAAGGTATAAAAAGTTTTATGAGATGGTTAAAGCAGATCACTTTAGTTACTACAGCTGGATATAATAACCGATGAAAAAGCATAAAGAGATACACATGAAGGTTTTCTTATCAATATATTAAATATTGTAAAAATCTGTTATATTGATATGACTTCGTTTCAAACATCCTTGTCGCCACTGTTATATTCCGTGAGTTCGTATCCAACATCCACGTCGCCACTGTTTTATTCCGTGTGAGTTCGTATCAAACATACTCGTCGCCAGTGTTTTATTCGGTGTGAGTTCGTATCAAACATACTCGTCGCTACTGTTTTATTCCATGTGAATTCGTATCAAACATCCTCAACGCCACTGTTTTATTCCGTGTGAGTTCGTATCAAACATCCTAGTCGCCACTGTTTTATTCCGTGTGAGTTCGTATCAAACATACTCGTCGCCACTGTTATGTTCCGTGTGAGTTCGTATCAAACATCCTCATCGCAACTGTTTTATTTCGTGTGAATTCGTATCAAACATCCTAGTCGCCACTGTTTTATTCCGTGTGAGTTCGTATCAAATATACTCGTCGCCACTGTTATATTCCGTGTGAGTTCGTATCAAACATCCTCGTCGCCACTGTTTTTCTCCGTGTGAGTTCGTATCAAACATACTCGTCGCCACTGTTTTATTCCGTGTGAGTTCGTATCAAACATCCTCGACGCCACTGTTTTATTCCGTGTGAGTTCGTATCAAACATCCTCGTCGCCACTGTTTTATTCGGTGTGAGTTCGTATCAAACATCCTAGTCGCCACTGTTTTATTCCGTGTGAGTTCGTATCAAACATACTCGCCGCCACTGTTATATTCCGTGTGAGTTCGTATCAAACATCCTCGTCGCCACTGTTTTATTCCGTGTGAGTTCGTATCAAACATACTCGTCGCCACTGTTTTATTCCGTGTGAGTTCGTATCAAACATCCTCGACGCCACTGTTTTATTCCGTGTGAATTCGTATCAAACATCCTCGTCGCCACTGTTTTATTCGGTGTGAGTTCGTATCAAACATC